CTACAGGGATTTCATTTTGTAATTTTTCTTTCCTTTCCTGTTTGCTTGCGTATTAGAGTAGTAACAAAAACTTTCGGATCTTGGCAAATCTGAGCACATTTTGAGACGCTGTTGAGAAATCTCATTTGTGATTTTTGTTTCCTATGAGCTTGTATTAGAGGAGAAGCAGGGCGGATGCCCTGGATGAGCTGACCATACAGGAGAGCTCCTTGGTAACCGAAGCACAGATGAACAGACGGGTATATACTACACCCCTCCCTCCAAGCCCCAGGGAGTGTGTGTGTGTGTGTGTGTGTGTGTAAGTGTAAGGGAGGAGGAGGTGTTTCCCAGGGTTGGGTTGAGGGTGGGTGTGTGTGTGTGTGTGTGTGTATGAGTAGGAGGGGCTCATTGTTGAGGCGATAAGCGTTGATCAAATGGGGAGAGGCACATACTGACTTGTTGGCAAAAGGACACCGGCTTGTCGACACGCTAGTCGTCCAGCACTCCCGTGAACTGGGAGGCCGTCATAATTCTACACGGGGTCCACCTGCCTCACACACTCTGGAATAATGGTGTTCATCGGGACTTCACTTAAGTCAGTCATTAAGTACTTCAAACGGAAGGGTAAGAACTCTTTGGCCATATTTGTTCAGTGCTGATGGAGATCAGATGGAGATTAGTTTTCTCAATTTGTTTAAATAGCTATGTGTTTTGTTAATCTATCAGCTTGTGGTTTCTTTCATTTTGAAGGGATTTCATTGAATGTACCAGGTCTTTGGTTGTCAGGTGTGTAAGTTCAGAGTCCATATAGAGCTGTATATCTGTATTTCAACATCGACAGATGAGTCATTTCCTGTACACTTAATAGAAAACCTAAAACAAACCTGTTAACACCTTGATACTGCATGATGACCAGAGAATGACCAATGACCATGTATTATCAATAGCGTGTACGTGCATCTTTTATGTGTGCAGCATATTAGTTCTTTATCAGTTATCAGGCAATAATAAACATATATTCTGTATTGGTCAAAATTTTCAATTCCCTCCTATTTTTACATCTTGTTTTCACTTAGTTCATCTTTAATAACACTAATATTTTAATGATATTGTTAATTGATGTCATTTTAAAATTAAAATTATATTTTGTTAACAGATTCAATTCAAATTTATTTGTATAGTGCTTTTCACAATACATATTGTTTCAAAGCATATTGTTTCGATCTGATTCAACGGTAGTATAAAAGGTAAGCATTTTGTGAGTGCTTGGCTAAAGAGATGCGTCCTTAATCTAGTTTTAAACTGGGACAGGGAGTGTGAGCCTCGAACAATATCAGGAAGGCTATTCCAGAGTTTTGGAGCTAAATGTGAGAACGGCCTCCTTCCTTTAGTGGACTTAGATATCCTAGGAATGACCAGAAGCCTCGATATATCTTAAAGAACGCGATGGATTGTAAGGCGATAGAAGGTCCATTAAATACACAGGTGCTAGACCATTTAGGGCTTTATAGGTCAGTAGTAAAACTTTGTAATTGAGATGGAACTTAATAGGTAACCAGTGTAGAGATGATAAAATTGGTGTTATATGATATTTGATATTTTCTTGACCTTGTAAGAACTCTAGCAGCTGCATTTTGCGCTAACTGTAGCTTGTTTATTGAGGATGCAGGACAACTGGCTAATAAAGCATTACAGTAATCTAGTCTCGAGGTCATGAATGCATGAGCTAACTTTTCTGCATCAGAAACAGATAGCATGTTACGTAGCCTTGCAATGTTTCTAAGGTGGAAAAAGGCTGTTCTTGTAACATATGAAATATGATTTTTGAAAGACAAGTTGCCGTCTAGTATAACACCCAGGTTGTAGTGGATAAAGTAACAGGACATCCTTCTAAATTAACGTTGTATTGTAAGAGGTTTTGTGGGTAGTTTTTTGGACCAATAAGTAATACCTCTGTTTTATCTGAATTTAATAGCAGGAAATTACGTCATCCAGCATTTTATATCTTTAAGACACTCCGTCAGTTTATATGAGTTAGATATAATTGAGTGTCATCAGCAACAGTTGAAATTAATTCCATATTTTCTTATAATATTACCAAGTGGCAGAATGTACATTGAGAATAGCAGAGGGCATAACTGATCTTAAAATGTTTAAATATATATTATTTTTTATTAATAAATAATATATAATTTATAATATAGAAATAGTATGTAATATTACAAATTAAGAAAAATAGAAAATAATATTATAACATTATGATATTAAATATTTAAAGAAATACTGGTTTTAATTAATTTTTATGTCTTAACTCGATTAGAGTTAAGAGATAAAAATAAATTAAAACCAGTATTTCTTTAAATATTTAATATCATAATGTTATAATATTCTTTTCTATTTTTTTCTGAATGTATTAGAATGTATTATCAGCTGTTTTGAATAATGGTTGTATACAATTTGCACTTGAACCAGAAACTGGTTGATCTACAATGTACCTTAAGTTCATTGACATAAAATTTAAGCTAAATTAAAAGGCAAGCCTTAAAAAAAACGTTTGATTTCTCAGGAGGACAGAGCACAGTTAACAGATTATAATATGATATATTATTATATTATACATATGTTGACATTAAATTAAATTGTGATTAATTTTTAATTATGATCATTTATCTTTTGAGCTGAAATTTGGTGGATGAGCTCATTTTATTTCAGTGCTACACGTGGTGGCAACTGCAAATTGTGTGTTTTGTGCGGGTACGAGCAGGACCAGAGGGATTATGGGAGTTTTCAATAGGCTGATTCTGAGTGCTGAGCTCAGGCTGATGTGGAGATTGATGTTGGGCACAATGCAGGTTTTTGTTCCTGCTGCCGCTCTCCTCACTCCCCGAGAGCACACAGACAGGTTTAATGGGTTGGAGACCGGGCTATCTAAATGTGTGTGTGTGTGTGTGTGTGTGTGTGTATTGCCCAGTCTAGAATCATCTGATATTTACTGTAGGCACTTCAAAGGGCTTGCTCACTTTTATCTCTCTTACTTAGAGTAGGAAGGTTGTTTAATGCTGTTTGTGCATCTGGTTTTGTCCTCTTGCAAATGGTCCTCTTGATAGAATGTACAAATTTCTGTTTGCACGGACTCTGTGTTGGTCTGGTTACGTGGCAGTTGTTGGCTGGTTGGTAGATTATTGACCTGTTTTGTTGTTGCTATACCTATGAAGCCATGATTACATAATATTTTGGTACTAACCCTAGGCAAAAGAACAAATTTAATGAAAACTCAATAAATACATCAATATTTCCGACTGTGGACACTTTCTATGGACAAGTCTGTGATTTGTTTTTTTGTTCGGAAAAATACACAGCTAAGAGCTAAATGCCTCTGCACTTTGGAAGCTTGATGTTTGGTGGCTCTCACAGACTTTAAGCAGTTCGTGTATGTCCTAAACGGAGAGATTCAGCACTTGATGATCAGTGTCGTTTAGTTTACAAACGGCTTTTTCTACAGTACTTAATGCCCTCTGCATCCTCCCATGTGTTTGACTGCTTTGTCCCGCCTGATGTCTGCACGTTCACAGATGATGCCTTTGAGGAGAAAGTGTCCTTTTGAAGCCCAGCATTGATTTGAACAATAAGTTCAAAGACCCAGTGTTGTGGTTAATAAACAGAGGTAAACCTGGAAAAGGAATAAAAGAACATGTTTTCACACTTGATTTGATTGCCCTGAGATCAAGTCCACCACCCTCCCCCTGTCCATAATTTGATTACAAATTGTACTTTAGATCCAAACCACTGTATGTTAGCATCATCACTGTCTCTTCAATATATATATATATATATATATATATATATAGACCATTTTGCAAGATGTAAACAACACTGGTCCAGAAACACTTCCTGTTTCAGTTTGTAACTGTTTTCTTTATTTCACATGTAAAGAAAACATCTTAAAGATGTTTGTTTAACTTTTTTGATTCACTTTTATATGTTCTGTTGGTTGTATTTTATCCCAGCTTTTATGTAGTGTTAAAAAACTTAAACAGGAAGTGCTTCTGGACCAGCATTGTTTACATCTTGCAAAATGGTCTATATATATATATATATATATATAGAGAGAGAGAGAGATTTGTAAAAAGAAAAGAGATTTTAATTTAAAAAATATATATATTTTTGATCAAATAAATGCTGCTTTATTTGTTCATGAGGAGCTTTTCCAAAACATTAAGAATTTTAACTGACCTAAAACACGGTTTTCACGGTATAGTTTCTATTATTCTATTGATTGTTGGGCTTTTTTTATTTCTTTTTTCTTTTTTTGTGAAATTCTCGCAATGGCATTTGCCGGAGTGATACCTGGAGCTGTGCACAGAAGCCCTTGTTAGATTAATTTGCTGTCACACATCATCATGTGTTAGTCTCTCTGAAGAGGGAGTAAGAAATCACTTCTATATTGAAAGTCCTGATGCCTCATGAATGAAGACAAAGGCCTCCTGTGGGCTCCGCTTGTCAGTCTGGCGGCTCTCACATGATGGGCCATCACGGCCTAATGGCCCGGTGCCACCTGTGGACAGAGCTCCTCACACCTGTGAGAGAACCCCCTCCTCTGCTCCTACTTTCCCTTCTTCTCACGTTATAACGACCAGCCTGTTGTTCTTGTTTGTTTGCTGTCGGGACAGCTGGGGGTTCCAGCTCCAGGGGTCTTTCCTTCAACATTCCCCATGGCTCATTTGCACCTCTGCTAGGTAGTTTACTGGCCTTTCTGTTCGCTTTGGGTCACTCTTTGGTTCCAGTTTTTAGGGTTCACTGACTCATTTTAGTGTAACAGAGTTTAAAACAAAAAGAGTCCTTTTGGCTCTGTTTTGGCTCATGGTGAGTTCACAAATGGACACATTTGGCGGTTATTACTTGCATTTGGCAAAACGTGCATGTCCTTTGTGTTGAGTTTTGCTAGAATAAACAGCTACTTTTAGGTCATTTGAAATGTTTATTATGGCATATCAATAATTTTAAGTGTCTTTCTTTTTTAGCTGTATCTAATCTGGATGAAGAGAAAAAGTGGACTGTTCACTACACGGCTCCATGGCACCAGCAGGAGAACGTCTTTCTGCCTGGCTCCAGACCGGCCTGCGTGGAAGACCTACACCGCCAGGCCAAAGTTAACTTGAAAACAGCTCTCAGAGGTATGAGCCGTACACACCAGTATCAACCTCAAACCTGCTGCAGTTCTCATGAGATCACTATTGCTATGGGAACAAACAGGTGAACGTGCCCATGATGTCACTCGTTGTTCTAAAGTGCACACTGGACACCTGTGAAACGGCCTGAAGCGTTGTCCAGGGGTCGATTTAACAGTACAGCTCAGAGCGGTACAGATCAAGGTTCAATTAGCAGATTCTCAAGACTGATCTAACGGTGCAGGTGGCTTATGTGAAGCCTGATTAATTATACAGGCACAGGTGTGTAGCTCATATTACTCTATTGGAGACCTCAAGCCTTCAGATGGCAGAGAGGAAGACATGAGGACAGGTAGAGCTGTACCATCAAACACTTTTCCCAATGCTGTTTATACTTCCCACTCACTTGTTATGTCTTTTCTTTCCTGGGAGTCTCTCTTTGGTTAGGAAAAGGACTCTTGACATAGTGCTTAAATTGGCTTATTTTGCCAAGACAAACAACACTAGGCACATGTAGATCAGAGGAAGTTCACTGGTGTCTTGAATATTTAATGACAGGTTAAAAAGCGTTTGTAAACCTGCTTGTCTTTATTTGAAGTCTTAGCTGATGGATAAGTGTTGAAGGAAACCGTAAAGGGTTAGCAAACAACATGAATAGAGGGTTTGGAGAATTAGAGGAAGACATTTTAACAGTCTGGCTGTTTTAGACATTTTAGACTCTTGATTTATCTCCTATATGCATTGCTCTTGTGTAAATATGTTGTTTGATTCTTTTTGCCCATCTTTGGCATTTTCTAAAGAGGAGGAATTCATTTTTTCCTATTTCAGTTTAATATGCAAAGACAGCCAATAAGTAAGCCACTCTGATTTCTCCAAAAGTGTAAACACTACTTTTTTTCTGACCATTGGCCGATAAGGGAGTAGTTTGTGAAAACTTTGCAAAACAAGTCAATATTTTTGCAATTCGGTTTGTTAAACCATAAATTGCACACTTCAGCTATTTAATGGAGTGCATCGCACAGCTGCAGTGAAGTGTCATAAAACAAACATCAGGAAATAATGAAAGCAGATAGGGATGGGACGATAACCGGTTTCACTATAAACCGTGATAAAATGTACTGACGGTTAGTATTATCGTTTAAAATTTAATTATCATTAAAACCGTGTTTGATTATCGCGATTTTAATAACTCACTGAATCCTGTCGGCCAGTCTGACGCAGGCGCGCAGCACGGAATATTTTTTTTAAATTACTATTCGAAAAGGAATGGTGGAAGGCAGTGACCGTGCTCAGGAGATTTTTCAGCCTTTTAAGAGGACCAAATCTGAGGTGTGGTCATATTTTGGGTTTTACAAAAGTCCTGAGGGAAACTTGATCGAGGATGGTCACCCTGTCTGCCGAACAAAAAGTCACTGCAATAGTAACACTTCAAATCTGCCGAGTCGTCTTGTGTGATCATCACCCGAACGCAAGGCAAGTTAACTTTGACCTCAATACCAAAACTACGTCTGGGAAACAATTGGGCACGAAATGTTGTTTTGAGTTGAAACATTTTATGTTACTCACTTGAAATAGACGTGAAGCTTCCGCGAAGAAAATTTCGTAGCAAGTGGATTTGAGCCAAAGACGAACTAACAACTTCAAACAAGACTATTATTAAGAGTGATATTTTAAGGGATGGTAAAGTATAGATACATGACGTATTAAACCGATTTTATTTTTACCACATAATTACGGGGACATATTGAATTGATAATGAGATTAGCTAATGTTTTAAATCTTACCTGTTTATGAATTCATTTTGTAAAACAATCGTCCAGACAAGATACTGTATATCACACCAATATTATCAAACTCTGTAAACAATAAATCAACTCTGATTTCATTTTTGCAATACAATCAAAAACCGGAGACGCAAGACGGCAAGTTGTGTTTGAATGAAACAAGAGCACGCGTCCGTTGTGATATGGATGTGCGCTGTGTAATAATGCGTTGCTATTGACGACGGGCATTATAAAGAAGCAAATGCCATAGAATAGAATCTTGCCTAAAAACTGCATAGAGAGGCTTGTTTTATTTGTTGTTTGTTGATTTTCAATTATAAAACTTGTTGAAATGTTTTCAGTGTGAGCATCAGTTCTTTTTGAGCACTTTCATAAATTTTTAACAAAACCGTGATAATATTGATAATCACGATTATTTTGGACACTATAATCGTGATATGAAATTTTCATACCGTCCCATCCCTAAAAGCAGATGAGCATTATTTTTTTTGTCTGCTGGATTCACTTGACTGAATGACTAAAGGGATTGTGGGATGTGTGCCAAGGGGATAGAGCTGCCATCTGCAACAGTTAGCTTAGAAAGTCAGCATGATGCAGTCTGTCACACAAAGACACACACATACATACAGAGCAGAACAGATCTCAGTCTTCTACTCTTTGCTAATCTCTAGTTCTCTCTCAATATCTTTGTAAAGGTGCTGCGTAACATAAACTTGAATTGAATTATCTTATTATTAGTTGGATCATTCGTGATGACCTACAAATGGTTATTTCTCTCTCAAACCACTAGAGGGAGCTAAAAATCTGCTTCGATACTTCAAATCATGTTTGAAAGTTCTTAAAAACTTCTTTTCGGGCTGGTCCTGATGTTTCTGCTCTTTCTGCTCTGTTCCCATAGAATGTGATAAACTGAGGAAAGATGGTTTCCGCAGCTCACAATACTACTCACAGGGACCCACCTTCTCAAGCTCCTCAAACTCGCAACATGAGGATGAGGACATCGAAGGGGATGACGCTGATAAAAAGGTAGGCCTATTTAGCAAAATATCAGAGACCATATGTAGACCATATTTGCATTTTTTGTGTGTTGTTCTGGTTATTGGTGTTGACTTGATATTTTAAACAGATTGAATTATATGTAACAATAAACATATAATTATGTATCTGCATATTATAAAATAATGATTATTATTATTATGCACTTTTTTCACTATACTCTTTTTCCTATGCCACATTTTTTAAACATGCTGCTAAAACATTTCTGAGACCTGAATTTTATTTTTTAATAATTTATTTTTTTTTTAAATGTAAGATTAATTCACGTAGTGTAAATATTTTTTTTTAGTAGAGGTTTTCAATATTTGCCACCATATTTGTTATTGGCTGTAAAAATAATAAATTAATAGAAATAGTGATCTGTTATCAAATCAGATCAGAAATCTAAATGTGTTGCACCCTGTGGGATTTGTCTGCCCTCTGCTGGAGAGAGTGTCTGCCTGCAGATGGGCTTCTGGGTACTGAATCACAGCTTCCCACATGTTCCTCTGCGGAGTTCCCGCCTCAGTTCTTCTGTATCTCTGCTGGCTTCATTAATGTTGTCAGCCATGTGTGGCCCCATTATGAGAGCTGAACCTCAAGAGAATGACACTCTAATGAAACTATTATTCACAATGTGTTAAAATAGTTATTTACTGAGATATTGCGATTTAGAAAGCTGCGCATTGAAGACAGGTTTGAAAGTAAGGGGATTTTAGTGAACGGATTCAATAGTCGTGCGGTTTTCTAAAACCATGCGGTTTTGTTTATAGCACAGCACACCATACCCTTGCCCTCATTCGCCATCCTTTCTTTCTTGCTCCGGACATCACACTGCGTTCAGGGGCCCTGGAAAGGTCAAACACAGTAAAAGCAAAGATTCGGGGGTCCTTTTGTCCTCCTGCTGCCCCCAGCCCACCCTAAAGGATCTCATGCCCTTTTAACCTCCTTCACCACCCTAGACCTGCTTTCCCAGCCCACTGGGATGAGGTTAACTCAGGTTACAGGGTTGGACTGGCCTTATAATTCTGACTGAAGAAAAAGTGTTTGCTGCTTAAAGTTTTTGCTGCTTTGTTTTATTTTTGACTCTTTTTTTTAACTTGGTTAACTTTTTCTCTTCATTCAGATTAGATACAGCCAAAAAAAAGACACTTAAAATTATTAATATGCCATAATAAACATTTCAAATTACCTTAATGTAGCTGAAAAATAAATAATATTCATTAAATTGTTTTATTGGAGCAGGCTAAATTGACAATATATATCAAAATTAGTCAAACACAATCAGCCAATCAGAGACATAATGTTGAGCGTGTGCGAATTAAAGTTGTTTACTAATAGTCCGTTCAACAGTACTCGAAATGCTAGAGGGAAATGTTGTTATTGTCACTTTTTTTAAAAAAAAATTCAGTTCTGACTTTTGTACCGAAGTTTTGACACTAAACAAAAACTAAAGAAAATATTCAGAAGAATCTATTGATTTTATTTTTGTTTTATTATTTCTTTAGTTTTATTTAAGGCAGGAATAACACTGGAATATGTTTGTTTATGGTTTAATTGGCCATTTATAAAGTTTTAAAGAACAATTGGGGTTTTATTTTCAGAACAAAGAAACTATTCGTTGTCTTGCTTTTTTGTGCAAATCAAGGTCTGCCGTCTTTTAAACATTTGATAATAAGAATTGGTCACTTGTAAAACGTGATGTATTCATCATACTCTTTATTTTACACTGAAAGTCAATCCGCTCTGACAGAGGCAGGACAGGTAATAACATGTTTAAACAAAAAAACAATTTTTTTTATTTGGTTTTTGATTATTGGTAGTGACCTGGATGTATAATTAAATGTGGTGTACTGGTTTAGAAATGTTCGGTTTGTTTGGGAGGCTGAGGGAGGCCCAGGTGTTGGATTGAAACTTCAGATGGTCCACTTGTATCTCTGCGAACGGCATTCCTATTTCAGAATCACAATGCGTGAACGGAGTTTTAACGCCTCACTGGTTTTCCCCCTTTCTCTGCTTTCTCTATTCTTATTGTCTCTATTCTAGTTTCTCAGTGTGTTTATGTGTGTGTGGTTTGATGGTCAGTTGCCCGTGAAACCACTCTGTATACTCCCGAAGTTGGGGCACTCAATCCTTAACCCTTGACTAAAGCTGCTGAGTCTGAATATTAATGCCCTGCTAGTTTACTACTACAAAATGTTCTGCTTACTTATCTCTATAAGCCTACTGTAGTCATGAAACTCACTGTATTTATTTGGCTACATCTTTTCAGTCTACAGCATCTTCAGGAGAGGAAGAGAAAGACTCCTGCCAAATGAGAGCACAACGTCCCACACAGGAGGAGGGGGTTGAGGTTGATGGACAAATGTCACGGTCCAAAGCCCCGCACCTGCCCACTCCAGAAGAGAAGATGAGGCAGCAGGCCAAGGCTGTTCTCACAGATATTGTCCCCATCGATGTGACTGGTAAGAAATACATCCCACCAACTGTCAGTCAAACATGTTGTGTCTCGGATGGCTCCCTATGTTTGTCAGTCTAGAATTCGTACTGTTGATCTGTGTAATGTTACATGTGGGTCTTTCATTAAAATGATTCAAATCTTAGGAATTGTAACTGGAATTTATATGTAATTCCTCATAAATGATTTGTCTGTACCTAACATTTGAGCACTGCATGCATGATCACTACATACCGCCTGTTTTGGATGTATAACCACATGGATGGATCTAACATGAATGTGTCTGAGTGTATTAACAGTTCTCATATTAACAGTTCTGTCATTTCCTTCTATCTCTTTGACCTTTGAGAGTCCTCTGTTTGAGCATTCAGTCTCCCTGCCTATGCATAAATTCATCGGTGCATCACTATGAACACCTAGAGCAGTCTTTCCAACTAGTCTTCTTCAGACAGAACAAGCTCTCTATGTCCAATCCCTTTAAATAATTCTGAACTTCACTATGACTCAGGAAGAAGCTGTATTAAACTATAAAGGACTTACAAATACACACCACACACTAATTCAGTCTGTCAGCTCCGTGACTTAGTCAGGCATCCCAGTGTGCTGAGGCTTAGTCAATAGTGCCCAGTCTCTGGGGTTCCCTTGCTTTTGCAGTGCTACAGCACATCTTGCAGCACAAAAGTGATTTTATGTAAAATACTGTTTCTAATGATATATTTTAAACCAGGAGTTTCCTCTTCATATACTACGTATAGAGGAAGATCATTGTATTTAGATAGAATTCCCCTTAGTGAGATCAGATCAGAGTCGTAACCACTATACTGCCAGGCAAACGCAGTATTTGCATATTTTGTCAACTGAATTACTTAAATCAGTCGTAGCACCCGGTTTAATATTTGACAAGTTGGGTGGTTTTAATGGCTGTTTCTGGAGTTTCTGTATTTTGTAACAAATAGCTACTTGCTTTCTTGACACAGACACACTTAAAGGGTTAGTTCACCCAAAAATGAAAATTCTGTCAGTATTTACTCACCCTCATGTTGTTCCAAACCTCTATATGTTTATTTGTTCTGCTGAACACAAAGGAAGATATTTGGAAGAATGTTTTAATCAAACAGATCTCATTCCCCATTGACTACCATAGTATGTATTTTTTCCTACTATGGTAGTCAATGGGGAATGAGATCTATTTGATTAAAACATTCTTCCAAATGTCTTCCTTTGTGTATAGCAGAATAAATAAACTCATAGAGGTTTGGAACAACATGAGGGTGAGTAAATACTGACAGAATTTTCATTTTTGGGTGAACTAACCGTTTAAACACAGACACACTTAAAACATGAATGAGTATAGATATGAATGGAGTTTTGTTTTTGTCTTTTTTCAAATTTTAGCCTGGTTTTCACTTTTCGCACTGTTTCGCTTATGCTGAATGTGTGTGGCTCTGCTTGAAAGTTTACTGGTATGGTATCTGTATGTGTGTGTGCTCTGCATGTGTGATGCATGTATGTTACTAACTGGCCCTTTTGCCTGTCTGCCCTCGTCAACTGGTCTCCAGGGGAGACGTTTGACAGGCAGGCCAGCATTCGCCGCTCCCTAATAAACACTGACACACTGGTCCGCCGGCCCAAGAAGGTTAAGCGAAGAAAGACTATTTCAGGGGTGCCTGACAGCGTCCAAGAGGAACTAGGTATGGTATGGCTTTGTGAGCTTTCTGTGCTGCTGCTCCTGCCTCAACGGTTTCCATTTAGATGACCGTGTAGTCATCATGTAGTGCTATAGTTGCCATCACTATATAGCGTAGTTTGTCATGACCCTGCCTCTCTTTCCCATCTCAATGCATTTTCTGTGCATTGATTTTAGAAGTCTTAGGATCATCCTAATCTGAGATTGTTGACTTCTCAATTCAAAATAAATTCCAATTACTGTCTTATAAGTCTATTTTCAAATCATCTATTGATTTGCTAATCATTACAGAATCTCTCATGCCCTAAATGTGGATTTCTTGCATGCATACTCTCAACGCGCCGTTATATAATCACAGCATCCAACAGCTGCATCCCGCATTCCATTTCTCACCACTCCCCTGGGTCATGGTCCCTGATTCTATTTAGTTTGCTTCCTGTTAGTGTGTGTGAGTGCTCATATTTGGAGCCATTGTTGGAGATGGCATGCCACATTTTGCTTTGCAGCCAACTGAAGCCACTGCATAATCCCCTATCCATATACCTCTGGCAAAACACTTCATATTTTATCAGGAGAGTAATGGAGGGGGAGGGGGGAAGGGAGAGTTAAAATAGATGTAGTATAAGTAAAAATAGTGTGGATATTCCTCGTCATAATTTTTTTTTCCTGTGATGTGGAAGTATAAAATGCAAATTTCATATAATTTTCAATAACACTGGCATACTGTTAAAATTCCATATCTGTTTGTGCTCATGCCAGATTATGGGGATTGTGGAAAGGGCATTTTGTATCAGTCTTTGTGTTTGCTATTTGTAGATATGCTTTTAATGAGGTCTTTATTTATCCCCCACACCCATCTGTTCTTGTAGAGTGTCAAGCTCTTTTAAGATGTTTTGCTGATAGCAATGCACAATAAATCTGTATTAAGTCCCATTCTGTTGTCTATACATGCAGGGGTGAGGGCTAACTTCATGCACCAGTGTCCTATCCCTGGCTCTAAAACTTAAGCTGATCTGATAGAAATGCTTTTAATACACATTTTTGTCTGGCAGTTAGAATGTCATGATTACTCTTGTATGGTAATTTATTCTCTAACATTGAGCGTGACATTAAGGAGATGCAAGGTTGCACTTTGCTGTGTGTGTATTATGGTAACAGGAGGCGTAATACATTAACAGTGTGTGGTTTTCAACTAAACACTAGAAATGTGTTTGCATGCATAAGCCCATAAAAATGTGTGGTTTGTGTGAGAGAGTGTTGTGGTACTGCTAGACCATCTGCCCGTCCTCCTTCGAGCACCAGCTTAGTAAGATCATTGACTTTGACTGATCAGTGCAACATCTCAGTGACACTCAACAACCATTAAGTTATCAACCTTAATCAAAGTTTCCAGAAGTCATCAACATGCCACGTGTGGCTCAAGATAATCTAATTAGCTCTCAATAGAGAGGGTTAATCTGATTGGCAGCTAATGTCACAAAGAGATGTAGGGGAGCGAAGCAGAAAAACAAGCAGCTGTAGTACTCGTCATAATTGTCTCCTTTCTTTTTTTCTTCTCTGTAGCAGCTAAAGGGCGCGGAGGAGAGCTTCGGCCACAGTCCATGTTTATCCCTGGACAGTATTCAACACTTGGGCGAGCCATGAATAGGAATTCGACTCTCCATCGATCTATAACAAAAGATTCTGGCTGCCAAACTGAGGAGGTGAAAATTGTCCCACCCTCTGTGAGGAGAATACGAGCTCAGAAGGGCCAAGGAATTGCTGCTCAGATGGCCGGCATCTCCACTTCTGCCATGAACATCTCTTCTGTCTATGATGGGAGCTCCCCTGGAAGTTCTATTGTTGTAATGGAACCACAGTTTGGCAATGATATCCAACGTTTTCACAGCTTGCCACGAGGTGCACGGGTCTCTCTAAACGCAGAGCCCCTCTACAGTAGCACCCCTTTCAGGCAAGAAGACTCCACTGCAAAAGCACCTCAGCAGATTGGAAAATTACAAGTAGATGAAACTGTGGTGCACATGAGGAATGCCCCCAGGGTATGTAACCAAGCCCGGCCAAAATCTCAGGAGGTGAGGGGTACTCAAAAGGAGTGGGGATCTGTCTCAGGTCCAGCCTGTGTAGTTTCTCCACATGCAGCCTACTCAACCTCCCTTATACCTAATGCTACTCTGTCATGTTCTGCTGAGGTTATTGCACTTCATACCACATCAAGCCCTGGCCAGAGCCCACTTGCCGGGTCATCACCATACACTAAAGGTAGACCTCTTAGCATGGTCTCAGCTGTTAACAGTGAGAGCACTAGTAGTGTAGGCACAGGATCACACACACCAGAGTCAGGCATGAAGGATACCTGCAGTGAGACTGGCCAGTCTGATAGTAGTTTGCACAGCCACAGCACCATTGCAGCAGGAACATTGTCTTCAGACGAGCAATGGATTTACGACACTCCTGAGAATGTATTGCCCAGAAGGACACTGACTTCCAGCAGCTCAACACCTATAAATCATCTCTATAGTAGCCTTGAACGCTCCTCAAAAGGCACAGACTCTAGTTCACTCTACTCAATGGACAATGATGGCTACTACACTTCCATGCATCTGGATTCAGGTCTTAGGTCAAGGAGCCAGGGTAGTGGCCATGGTCATGGTATAGGAGGAAGAGCAGCAAGACACAGTATGTACGAGTGCCTGGGTCAGCAAGAAGACAGAACCAGCTTGTACAGTGACCACTCACTGTCACGCTCCATCTCTCTACGCAAGCCTAAAAAACCACCTCTTCCACCAGCACGCACAGACTCCCTACGACGAAAACCTAAGAAAACCAGCTCCCCTACTGCCAATATTGGAGGCTCAGATATTCGCAATGGTTCTCTTCTCAATGAGTCGCTAATTGCCACACTCCAACTGTCCCTTCAGAATGGGCTGAAAGGCAAAGGGTCCTCCACCTCACCATCTCACAGTCCTTGTAGTGACTATGAGGACCCCTGGATGCTTCGTCCCAGGAGCCAGAGCAGCATCAGTGCAGGCAGCAGTGGTGTATCAGCAGCAGGGATGGCCCATGTGTACTCCATTTGTCATGTCACACCTTCTCATAGTGACAATAGTAGCCTTCGTTCTGAATATGCAGACTCTTGGGGCTACTACATGGATTATCCTCGCCCATCTGGAGATCAAACACAGTCCCCATGCACCAATTCAGTTTCTGCTGGACAAGTGGTTGAGATGGTAAATGGAAGAAGCCTTCACAATGGTAACCAAGCTACTCTTCCTCCTGCTCAGGAAGGAAGTGTAAAGCCCAGAACAGGCACCTCATCGCCAGACAGGGTGCATCGGTTGACTTCTCCATCAAGTGGATACTCAAGTCAATCCAACACTCCAACAGCTGGCACTCCCATCCCCTCTTTTATGAGATGCAAGTCCCCATCAGGCAGCAAGCCCAAACCCAGAGTGCCTGAAAGAAAGTCATCCTTGCTCTCATCTGTGTCCATATCCTCTTCTTCTACATCTCTTTCCTCTAACACCTCTGATTCCAACAGGAACAATATTCCTCCTCCACCTCCTCTTCCAGCTGCCCCTGTGGCTCTTATACCTTTCAATGCTCCGTCCTTTCCTCCTCCCCTTGCGCCTTCCAGCCCTGTGTGCAGTGCAGACCAGATTTTTCCTCCTCCACCACCTGCTTTACCCACCACCCCCACTCAAGAAGCATCCATGAGCCCTCATTCAATCAATTCTTCCCCTGAATTTCCACCGCCTCCACCTCCAGAAGTGTTGATAGACCCTGCCTTGTCGGGCCTCAATAGTTCTTTCAGCCCTCCACCACCTCCTCCACCACCACCACTGCCTCCTTATTCCCCCATCCCTGCTTATTCTCGACCCCAAGATCAACTCCTATCCAGCCTGACACCACCTACACCTTCTTCTACTTGTTTGAAGGAAATTAAGTGTAGCCTAAAACCAGTGAAGACAGTGTCGCCTCTCTCTGAGCAGGCTAGTACGGTTGGCATGCCTCTGATCACCCCACTTGCCCTGCAGAGTGTGCAACTTCGCCCAGCAAAGCAGCCAAAAAACAATGAAGTTAATCAGTTGGCCAGACCCCAAACACCAGAGAAGCCTCTCAAACCACGGCACCCCACAGTTCCTCAGGTTTCTTTAATACCTCCTAATTTAAGGCCATCATCTCCAGAGAAAAAACTCTCCATCCAGCATAGCCAGGATAGCCATGTTGAAGCACAACCTGACTGTGATGTAAAATCAATTCCTGGAAGAACATCCTGCCTCACAAATGGGTCCATAGATCTTGACGAGGTTAAGGCCACAACTGAAGTAGATGGTTTGGAGCCTGCCCTCTCATCACCTGCAGAAACACCACAAAACACCACACCCAAGAAAAAGCCTCCTGCAGTTTCCAAAAAGCCTGTGTTCTCTCTTACCTTTTCATCAGTGGATCATGTCAGTGATTTGCTGAGTGCTCAAAATGACGTTAACATCTCTACAACTACGCCTGAAGGTCTGGACCGCACACCTGTGTCAGAACAGGAAGAGACAACTGAGAAGGATAGCATTGAAATTTCAGTACCTCCTGAGGAGATAAGAGACATTTCTTCCACAAATTGTGAAGCACAGGAATTCTCCCAGACTTCTGGTACCATCATTATTGATGCAGACATGGGTACCATTGAAGGAAAGAAGGGAGAAAAGGGAGATGATGAAGATGTAACCAGCAGCACAGAATCTTTTGGATCTAAAGATGATGAAAGTGGTGAGTTAGATTTTTCTCATTTTACTCAGTGGAGATCATTTATAAAACTGGATGACACGAAATCATACAATTTTAAATACGCAGACCTTTTTAAAGAGTCAGGGGCACTATTGGGTGACATGTGATTCCAAGCTTTAAATTACATGAAGAGAAATAATTGGAACAAGGTGATGCACATTAGCACTTTAGCTTGTATTAAAACAGCATTGTCAAGAAAAAAAAAGGGTATTTAAGGCAAAAAGTGGCTGATTTTGCTCACCTCTACCATGAGTGTGTCAGGGCTTAAAATTGGACATCACTCAAGCAGTTCTTTGGATTTAGTACTTGTTTAGTTTTACTTCTGTCTGTCTCGTTCACTGTATTCGTTCAGAAACCACTCCCCTTCCACCATCTGTCCCTTTGACTTCTGATTCTCTCGTCCTTTTCTCATTCTCTCCTGTTTTACCATGCTCTCTTATCATTTTGTTTTTCATTGTTTTATTTATAGATTTCCTGACCAGTTTTGAATGCATGTTAAACAACTCTATGAAATTTCTGAAATATCAAGTAAATAAGGAAATAAGCAGATAAATTAAGTTGCAGGTAATAAATAAATAAATAAATAAAATACAATTATTACAGTCTAGAGCAAAAGAGAAAATGTGCATCTCTTTCAACGTCACCAGTGTTACAGTGTCCACAGACTCTCACACTTCTAGTCAGGCTCTGGATAGAATGGGACAGCATTCTTTAGGGAAAGCCGTTTAAACAGGATGGGGCGGGGGGTGGAGCTGACAGTGGGTAGAGGAAGAGAGAAGTGAGGGAGGGGTATGGAAGAGAGCGCGTAACGTGAGATCATCCTCAGTGTCTCAGGCAAGTGCAGATGTGAGATGAGAGGAGAGCAGAGCAGAGCAACTGAACTCTGGGAAGGTGGATACGACCATAACAATGTAAGACAATATTAAACATAAAGCTTTTTACTGTCTTCATGTGTTTTTTTTTTTTTTTCAAGAGTGTGAAGTATACGTGCGTTCTTGAATTTATCGATGACTCTAGAATCTTGATACTTATATGAAATGTAGGATTTTAAATTGACTGTTTTAAATTCTGATATTTTATATAAAACCGTTCAAGCTCTACCGGTGTTTCTCTACATAGATTTCTCTCTCTCCTTTGAATATATTTTTGAATGTTTTTTAGACAAGTTTGTCCAAACATGCCTATGCATTTTGACACATTGAGTTCTAGAATGACAGTATCTGTTTGTCAGCTGGGTCCTGTTTGCAGTGTGTTCATTTATTTTCAGGTCATTTAAGCTCTGCCTTTGAAGTTTATTATCATCATTGCACTTATGCATCTGGCAGACGCTTTTATATAAATTGAAGTCAGATGCATTCAAGGAGTCAAACCCATGACCTTGGTGTTGGAAGCGCAATGCTTATAATAATCACATGCAATTTATATATATTTTTATATATTGATTTATTTCAAGAAATTGAATGCATCCTCTATTATATGAGTTTAATATATGAATGTCCTACCAGGTGAGGTGTTTGAGTCCAGCACGTTAGACGTCGCTCAATCTCCCAGCATCAGTGGCGACAGCGGTGGGGACATGGTGACCCCCACACGGCCCCGCACCACAGAGGACCTCTTTGCTGCCATTCACAGGTAAATTCCCAAATACTTTGCTGGTATCCCTTTTCTAGTCTCATCTACTACCTTTCCACTCCATCCTTCCCACCTCCCTTAAACCGCAACTCATAACTTCAAAGTGGGCTGTCCCATCCAATCGCAGATACATTCATCAAAGAAGGAAAGCAGCCTGTAAAGAGTAGGGCTTCTGTGGTCTCTGTCTGTCAGATTGAGAAATGCCACAGGCTGATGTATTACTCCACTGGATGCTCATGTACATTTGTGTGTGTTAAAGAAACATGCACTCTCTTCTAATTCAGTCATAAAACTCTCATAGCCTTACTGCAGTCACATGAAAATGCCCCTCTGTTGCTTGTCGTATGGGGCATTATTTAAAATTCATTATGTTGTTCACACAGACGTATTACGTATGCAGGCTCTTCCCTCTTCCATAGTCACGTGTAATGGGCAGGTTTTTGAAGTTCTTTAGCACATCACACAATTTCATTCGAGAGGATTTGGTTTCCTCTGCTACTGTGTGTGTGTGCGTGTGCGCGCGCGGCTTTGCTCTTCCTTATGCTCTGGTCTGCTGCAATCTCACATAGATATTAGAGTAAAGGATATCCTTGAAATGGAAGACCAGTTTAGATGTAGTGTGACAGTGCACCAGATGCTATATGTGCTCAGTAAATCCTGCGGTTTGGCTGATGTCACTCTCATAACACTGAGCTTTAGATGAATGAATCAAATAGAAAAGCTGGAGTAAAAACTAGATTACAACCACAATGTATACAGCATTTCTACTAGTACCTACTGTGTTTTGAAGGACTTTACTGCAAAAAAAAAATCAATCTATATTTTTCTTGTTTTCTGGTTAAAAATATATAAACATGCTTAAAACTAGATTATTTACTTGAAGAACAAAATGACATGTTATAGAACGAAAGGATCAACAGTATGTTGAAGCCATGTGCATATTCCATTAATTCCAGTGAAGACAAGCCAGTGTTACAGCACACATGACATTCCAAAATCCTTTGTTGCAATCCTTTTGGGGGGTCTTTTTCTGTTCCAGAAGGACAATGTCTCTGGCACACAAAGCAAAGTCCATAATGAAGTAGTTTACGCAGTCCGAACTGGAATAACTTGTCTGGTTGGGTGATGGGGTCTGGCTCACAGTCAGTGTTCCAATTCATCTCAAAGATGTTAAGCGTGGTTCAGATTCACACCAAACTTGGTTAATAATGTCCCTCCCAAACTGTTGTATCTTAAAATAAGTTTACCATTTTACCTCTGCAAATAGATTTTTTGTCTGTATTATGCATAAACCCCAGAAAGAAAGCATATAATTTAGGATCCTATTGTCTAATTTTAATCTTAAAACAAAAATTTTAAATATAACGTTTGATTTATTTTTAGCTTTTTTAAATGGTTTTCAATGGATTATTTTTTTTATTTTTTTTTAGTTATTGTATCTCTGACACTTCAATTCTTGCTTCCACATCCTTTGTCATTTTCCCACTCTCTTCTCATATCCTCCTTTTCCTTTCCTGATCCCTCCCATCCTCCTTTTCCTTCTCTTTCGTTCAGCCTGGACCAGTTGAACATGAACACCCCCCAACATACGAGGTGCGGTCTGGCAAGTAATTAGCTGTTGGCGTATTCCTCTCGTGGTGATGCTAGGGTGGGATTAGCTCTATAATCTCCCAGCGCATCTCAGACGTGGGATGAATTTCTGCTCCATCCCGCAGATAATCCCACGCTCCCTAATCTGCAGCAGTTATGCCATGCTAATGAATTTGATTTGATCCTGGCCACAAACGCTAGCTTTCATTGACCCAAGGTCCCCCTACTGGTGGGATGAATGAACAGCCCTCTTGGTTAAAGTGATGTGGGGCATTTTGCCCAGTTTGCTTTGTTGATTAGGCTTCCATTATGTCTGCACTTCCATAAAGTTGCTTTGCTTGCTGTATTCCTCTTTGGTTTGGCTTTTAAAGGACTGGATTTGTATTAAGCAAACACCCCACACCCCCCTACTCCTGCTATTTATATACTGCATAAGATATTCCTGTTTTTCCAATTTTGCAGTGAGGTTTTGGTTTGCTGGGGGCTAGTGGAGTTTAATGAGAAAGTGGAACAGAAATCAATGAAGAGGATAGACTCATCAAGACTGAAAAAATGAATCACTAAAATTGAATTGAATCTTATTCAGGACGTTCAGCTTCAGGAGTTTAATAGAAGTAAAGCATTTTAGTTAAACATTTGTGCTTGCAACTCTTGACATATTATTCTATAAGTAAGTTTAAATCAAACACAAGTTTTATTTTTGTTTATAAGCGGATTGTCTGCAACCTACTGCTAACTAATTTAAGCTTGAGCTGATATTTCATTATTTCTTTTACAGATATGGTACTAATATATTGTGCATCTCTACCTTGTTTTAATTGGTTTATTTTACAAAACAATTTATTTGACGATATTTTACTTTTGTCTCCAGGTCAAAGCGGAAGGTCCTGGGGCGTAAGGAATCTGAAGAGGAGCGTTCACGAGGTCCTTTATCCCCACCAGTCACCCCCACAGGAATGGCCCCCGGTTCGACTTCCTCCCTGCCGCGGCAATCAGGCTCCATACAGCGTAGCCTCCGTAAATCCCCGACCAGCAGCGACACGTTCAAGGCCCTCCTGCTGAAGAAAGGCAGTCGCTCCGAGACCAGCTTCCGCATGTCTGCCGCCGAGATGCTGCGCAGCACCGACCCGCGCTTTCAGAGGACTCGCTCTCTCGACTCCTCGCTCGATCCAGCATCTCCGACGGGCGAGAGCCCCTGCTCTTCTCCAGGCCGGAACAAAAGGGCGTCTGAGGACTGGGCGCGCAACGAGGGAATGTTCTCAACGTCCCCGTCATTAATCGGGCCGAAGTACGGCCGATCCCGCACACCGCCCTCTGCCGCCAGCAGCAAGTACAACGCCCGCAGCCGGATCCTCAGCAGCCCCATGACAGTTATTTGCGAGAGGGATGGAGAACTCACCGACTGTGAAGACCCATGCCCTGTTTCACCTTTAAACGCGCCCCTTCCCATCTCTCAGGACTCTAACAGCACTTTATGTGAGCAGGGCAGCAGTTAGGAGAAGAAATGGCTCCTTGGCAAAGGCAGAACGTCTTCTCGGCACCAGAGATTGACTGAGGGCAGAAGACCAGCAGTCGAACTCTCGAAGGTCTTGCTGCCCGCTAATCCAGGCAGCGCTGCCTGATATTGTAGTGTGGGCTAAGACATGCGGACCCGAGGTTGATCAAGCCGTCAGCTCTCAAACAGTAGGCGGTGTACTGCTATACCGATAGCTCTTCACAAATAAACTAACCTATCTAATCAAATTTGACCTCTGAAATTCTGCTTTCAGTGGCAATACTAGACCCATCTTTTCAAACCCCAACAATTTCTTGTTATATTGTTCAGCCTTTTATTTCCACTCTTCAGCATTCACAGTCAGATTTGTGTGGGGGGGTTTTGGTGAAGCTGTTTACGAAAGTTGCATAGAAGGAATTACTATGTGACTGCTTGTTTTGGCTGTAGTAGTTCAAGTTGATGGATACTGTGTCAGCGCTGTGGTCCAAAGAGGTGTGTCACTTCTCAAACTTCACGAGGCAGCTCTGTCAGCGCCTTTCAGTCAGATATCTTCAAAGAGCACACCGACCAATTTCTACAAGAGACTTTTACTTTTCGGACCATCGGAAGTGTCTGGAATAGAAAAGGAATTGTGGGCCAAGAGATTGGAGTAATGACGGCTTGTTTGTGGAAACAAAAAGAGTTTGTTTGGTTTTTGGTGTGTAGGTTTGCACTGTTCATTGTCTCCTTTTATTTGTCATTTAAAAAAAAAACATTGTGTCTGTGTTGGTTATTTTAAAGACTTAATTCTTGCATCTTACTTGAAACAAATGACCGGTTTTACTTGTAATTGATTTGGTTACCAAAGAGCCGAACGGGACATTCTCTCCAACTATGTGAGGGCATTAGTCAGACTGAGTTCTGTTCTGTTAACATCTAGTGAAAGTGACCGCTTTATTACTAACCCTCCTGTTTACCCGTCAAGCTTCTTTTTTTTCTTTCTTTTTTTTCTTGTGCAGTTTTATAATGTTTTTTATGTATATACCTAAAGAAATGTTAAGTAACACCTGAACTTATTTTCAAAGAATTTGTACATTTTAGAAACCTTTGCTAGGAGTGGCTTCCTTTTGTAGAGTATTTATTTTAGAATAGCCAGAATGTGGTTTGATATACTGTAGCTGGAGGTGGGCGTTTTGGGAGGGAAGTGTGATTAGAGGAGACATACAGACAATAAGTTCAGATTCAGCAGTCACAGAACTTCTTATCCTGTTCCTTCACCCGTCGTACTGATGGAAAAGCGGGTCAGAAAATAAAAGCAGAATAAATAACGACGGCAAAGAGGAAGCAAGCTGCTAACCCTCTGGAGTTTGTCTCTGTAATAAAACATGGTGATATTTAAAAATGGCCCATCTGTCTTGTCCTGTCTTTGATTCACTGCCACCTGTCAGCCGCCAGCCCAAACCACAATCTCATTAGCACCGTCACCATGACACCCACAGCCGTACATCAACTCCAAAGGCTTTGCAGGACCATCAACCCCTACTTCCGTCTTACTGACCATCATTTAAAGCTCGATACCGTGACCTGGACCAACGTCGTATGTATCTATGCAAAATATCACGAAAGAGGTCGTGAATCATTGTGTATGATTTGGCTGCAAGTGCAACATGGAGATAGAGGTAAGTTCCTGACCCTGTTTCATTTGTTTTTGTGCTGAACGTACTGTGAACACGATATTCAGGGCAGGCAACCGTTACCTCGAAAATAAACCTGATGACCATGCAGACAGTGTGTTTGGCCTTGTATGGTTTCTTTAGCTAACACCTGACTCAGATTATGTCCTTTGTCAGATGAAGTACAAAAATATTTTTTCCTCTGCTATAGCTCTAGTAATTTAAAGCGACCAAAATAAAAGTAAATTAACGACGTTTCTCTTTATACACCGAATTAATGTGTAGACTGAATCTAAATAAAACAATTCATTTGAATTACAGCCACACTATAACTTTTTCGAGAGTGCGAACGAATCCTTCTTCAAACCATGTAACTTGCACGCACAGATACATAACCAAAATGTCACCTAACCTGCCTTGAATACCCCGTAAATGTATTTATTTTTAAATACTATCAGTTGTTTATTTGCGTTAGTCTATATTTGTTTTATTAGGCTAATTTGCAACAATGATTTTCTGTTTTCATCATTTAGGGGAAATGTATATATTTAGCCAACCGATAACCCTTAACAACCGCTGCTGATAAGTATCATGACATTTTTAAGATAATTTATACGTTTATTAATAAGTTTCAATAAACGAGTCCTTATATCGTGGACCTGGCCTGCCCTATTCATTCGTGCAGCGCCAAATCACAACCAAAACAAAATGTTCTTCCGCAAGATGTGCAGTTTTATTTTTCAACCACTAGAGGGCCAAAGATTTTGATGTGTACCAGTAGATCAAAAAGTGTCAATTTAATACACTGTTATTGTTCTCTTAAATTTTTAGATTCAAGATCTAGTGCCATATAAACAGCTCAAAATGCAGATAAGATTATTCATATTTCAAAACAATAAAAATTATTGATTCAGTCGGGTTATTCAACGGGTACTTGCACCTTTACACAACCATTACATGAGTACTTTCTTTGAATGATACATTATTAGTGACAAAAACCATTAATCAAAAATTATTTCAACATTCATATGATTTCATAGTTAATTGTAGACATTTAAAGTGTTAATGTTGCATTGTAAAATATATTGTTCTTCAGATATAAAATCAGTACAGTGTTAAATTCTCAAAAACATTCAGGCACTTGCATGTATGTACATAGTAAACAGAAGCACCTACATAGCTATTGTTAAGTTCAAACAAACAGTTGACCTCCTCTTCATTTGGATCACAAGGCAGGCCCGTTTGATCCTTAGGCTTTTTCTTCCTCATCTTTGATCAGCCACACCTCGTTCCTGCGGTTGGTCAGTTTGAAGGGGCTGTCATATCCGGCTCTGTAGAACGGAGCCTCTTTGAATTTCATCCCATCCCTCTTGAGGCTCTCGATCAGTTTCAGAAGCTCCTCACGGCTGCTCTCACTGTTGGTAAAGCCTCCATATGTCCTGCAAAACACAGCCAAGCAAAAAATTAAGCATTTTTAAAACCAAAGAACAGTTTGAACAGGCAACTAAACTAACATTCTCTAACAAAGTGTGTGGTCAGTCAGATTTTTAAATGCTTCTGAAAGAAGTCTCTTATGCTCTTCAAGGCTGCATTTATTTGCTTATATAATATTTCTGAATATTACTGTTTAAATTTAAAATTAAAGGTCTTTTTAGTTTATAAAATAAAAGTTTATTTTAGTCCTGTGATGACAAAGATGAATTTTCAGCATCATTACTCCAGTCTTCAATGTGACTGAAACTTTTGATCAATTGAACGCATTATTGCTGAATAAAAGAATAAATTGATACCCCATAGTTTTAAACAGAAGAGAGGCTACATTTAATCTCCAATTTAAAAACCACGAACATATACCTCACAAACATCGTGCACTCTTTCCGGTTCTCTATGAAAACATCTGCGTCGGTGGGTTTGGGTGGGTCAGCCTGATGTTCCTCAGGGATAAAGAAGGAGATAGTGAAGGTGCTTTCACAAGTGGGTCCGGGCCCAGGGTCAATCAAACAGCTCACTGGTGCCGTCATCTCCACCTTAGACTCTGAAAGGACAAGCACTCAGATAAAGCTGATATTCATAGGTCTTTCTTTAATGAAAAGGTGCAGAAACATGCACTGGTCTCAATGTGCCAAAGCTATTTTGCAGGTACAATTTCACCTGGTGAATCATTAACACTTCAACCTTTAGTAACAACCTGGCACATGATTTTTATAATTATAAAAGCCTCTTGAGATGTGATTTATTGTAGTCACAGGAAACCATTTCCTCGTAAAACTTTTGGCTTTATGCATGAGATTTCTACGGAGCCCCTAGGGACAAGATGGTGGGAAAAAATGGGTTCGATTCACAGAATCGAACTTCCCAGATCAATATTCCTGAGCTAAACATTGTTAAAACACAAACGACACCTATTTACAATCACAGTAACTTAGACAACGAGCTACAACCCAATTTTATAATATAACTTTGTCTCCAAGTAGGCGGTTGAGAGGCAAGTCTGAATAAGGGGCCATCTGCAAAGTTCAAAACCCTTTTGAACATATTATATTATGAAACATATTCAGCTTCACTGACACCAAATTCAGTTCACACATCACTGCTCTCCTGCTGGTTATACTACAATACTTAGAACATTAATAACTTTGCTGTTTTTAGAAATAAAATATTCAACTTCACACTGGTATACAGTGGAATGCCATCAAATTCAGTAAGCAAATGTAATGCAAAAGCTATGGTTGTAACTATTATGTTAGCTGCGTACCAATATCATTTGTGTAAAGAATAGGCCTACTTATTTTTTATGTGCAATTACTTGCCAAACTAAGTGTTGTATGACCAGCATTAGAGCAGTGATGTGTGAACTGAATTTGGTATGCTACAGTAAAGTTATGGAATATTTTTCATAATATAAAAAAGCACATTTTATTAAACTAAGTGGGAGACCATTGATGTGGAAACTGAATTTGGTGACACTACAGTAAATAAATATAAATCTCCCATCCCCAATTTTTTTTCTTGACCACATCTTTTTAGGGGCTCCGAAGATTTCTCATCCATTTGTGCTTGCTATTTTGCATTGTATTTCTCTTGTGTAATGAAAATGTCACAATCACAGGGGCTGATGTAAGAAAATGTCACAATCACAGGGGCTGACGTAAGGAAATAATTATGCATCTGATCTTGAGTGTCTACTACGTGAAAATCTGAGTTTCTAGTCGTCTACAGGTCCATGAAGACTTACTTTTGTCATTATTGCCCTGAATGTATTTGAAGAGTCTTCTGAAGCCTGTGCTCAAGGCCGGGTCCTGCTCCATGCCAGTCACAGCTGTGCTCACCCAGTTTGTTGTGTGGTAAGTGCGGACCTCATAGTCTTCACCCTGAAAAACATCACTTCATCAGATATGACCGGTAACATTATGACAATAAACAAGGTCTGCTTCGATATAAGCATGAGCAGACTTTCAAAAACAAAATGCAAGCCGTATCTCTGCAAGCATTAAGTAAATATTAACAAATCTAAAGTCTGACAGGTTAAGCCTGGACGGTTTACTGGCAAAATGACATTTTGAGAAGGCTACTAACCTTGCTCTGTTGAGCAGTGACCGGTGGGTGCTGGAGTCCAGAGGAAAATAAAGTTTGACCGATGGCTTTAAGCATTTTGAATTTGAACTGTAATGCTGTGCAAAATTAAAAATGGATTATTAGTTGCAGACAATTTACGACGTCTAGATATAAAATATACACTACATATATTGAATATATTTCATGTCCAATAGGCCAAGGTTTGGACGTTAAGAGGAATGTACCAACGCTGCCCATAATAACATGATAGGGCCAACAATAATGTGCGAGTTATTATATGAAATAATTAAAACATTGTTTGTAAAGTTTCCTATTTCGCGCATGTCCGTTAACAGTCATCCCAAATACACAATTTTAACCGAAATGGAAAATATTCCAGGTTTTTACAATGAGATGACTGTCCAAACGTTGTCAGTTGTGCTAAAGTCACTACAATATTATATTATATAGCCTACTTTTGTTATAAACTCACCTGTCCGCCGTGGAGCGTTAAAATGCAGAAAATTACTGAAAATCCAGAAAAGATCGAGCGCAGTATAGGCCTATCATCCGTCTCATACAGGTGTGTTAGATAAAGAAGATACTAGGTGCTGTTTTATACAGATGGTGATGTAACACACAACCCTAGGCTTAAGTAACACTCACACTTCCGTGTTTTCATGTTACATCACTCGCATGAAAGGTTTCCGATTGGTTGTGAAGAATATATCAATAAAGTCACGCCCCAGCAACGCTACACTACTGTCTATGTACACTACTCTGGGGAAGAAACATTACATCACTACCCCTTGAAACAATAGAACAAAAATAAATTAAAGGGGACATATCATGCTAAATCCATTTTTATAGCCTTTAAGTACAGAAAAGTTGAAATTATTCTCTTCAGGTGCTTTGTTTATATCTTTATATTCTGTTTTGGTCATATTTTGCAACCTGTTCCTATTTTTCCTATTGTTCTTTATGACATATATTAAACAATACGTCACAGTATTTTGAACAGAACCGCCAAATAAGGACATTGACTACTGGCCCAACCATGGGCCCAACACTTCGAGCAATCCGCCATTTTTATTTCTCACTCTGATTTTGTAGTCCAAGTTTAAGGATGCAAAAGTTACGAGAACCTCTTTGAAGTGCCTGGTTGAGTTTTATTTATAAAATAAAATTTACCCACATCTGTGGGTAAAGTCATTTTTTTGTGTGCGTGAAGCACTTCGAGAAATCGACTTCCTCTGAATGAGGGGTCAATTCCTTCTATCTTTGGAGACGACGAACATAGCAAATGACAGAAGTAAATTAATTTTTTTTCTTTCTACTTTCAATTTTATTAATTCTACAGCAATTTATTTAAACATAAATAAATAGTTATACATTTGAAAGGCATCAAGTTACCTTGCAGTAAAATATAAGGTCAACTAGACAAAACACCATTACTTCAAAGCCATACATTTTTCATCATCACATCAATATTTTAGCACGAACTAAACTAATGGATAATTGCAGACACAATCTTAAGTATTCCACTCACACTAATCACAAAACACCTGTAAACATATTTTTCAGAGGGATATCCCCAAAGTGCATGATCAGCTAAAGAGAGTGGAACCCATCCAAAACTGAAAGAATGCTAGAATTACTTCGTAAAAAATACTAACAAGTATAAGCAAAAGCAACAATGATACAACCTCAGAGTCTTACAATGCATTGCAAATTTAAACATAACCTGAGCACCATAAACTTACAATCAAAATGCATACAAATAAAAATACACAAGCATTGTTTTACTATTAAATGGATGTTTGTCACTTCATCTTCAGAGCTGTGTTCTTCCTGCGTGGTGGCTCTCTCTGGACCTGTCTGGCTCTGGCACCGAAGCCCAAGGACTGAAGAGATTCACTGAGGAAGCGTTGAGTAGGAGATACACACAGCATTATCAGAAGCTTAGCATCCCCTCCTGTGCCAGAAAGAAGGTCAAAAGGATGGTCAGGTGAGGTTTGGGAGATAAGTAAGAAGAATGTAGACAGGCCTTGTCTATGTCAGTTATTGGGGTTGGGTTCTAACTTGACTGGTTGAACTGGTTTTAACTGCAGTTAAAAGCAAAGAAAACTTGCAAAATATACAAGGAAAAAGTCCAACAAAATCTTTCAAGTTCCACTGTGTCTTAAAGATCAAAGATTTTTCCTTTAATTGAATAGCTAATTTAATTTAATGTATTTAACTACAGAGCTAAATTTCATATTCAGTTCATCCACAGGCAGGCACATTAGGACATTACCTGATAAATAATATATCTAAATATATCTGTTTGAAAATTCATTGCAAGTAACAATAATATTAAGTAAGATGCACTGTGACAAATTACATTATATGTCCAGAATACATGAATGTAAAAATGTCATTCTAAATTGAAAAGTTCTCAATAAGGTAACAGGTCAGATTGCTCAGTGTTTGTATGTTCAAATGTTTGGCTCAGGATCATCTTCAGTCATATTGTCAGGGAGGAAGGAGTGAGTGAGGATGAATGTTTTATGGACTAGTGTGCAGGTTCAAGTGACTTGTATTTCACAGGTAATGTCCTCTCACCGATGGCATCCTGTAGCAGATGTGTTAGTTTACTGTTGCGGTAGGGGACGTGGGGTCGTCGTTCGGCCAGAGCTCCCAAAACATCAGACAAAGCCGAGAGACTGCGGTTTATACAGGAGCTTTCCCAAAGAGCAGCTCCGGTCACACCTGACATCCCTGAACACAGATAAACATTCATGCTAAAAGACTATTTACATCTTCATTTACTAGGCGCATTTGAATCAAATCTGACCTAAGATTTAACACTCCATAAACCTTATCTAATGAATATGATGTTTGTTTTATTGTAAAATGGCTTTCACTACTCAACGGAGCACAAAACCGCAATCTCTTACCCGCACACTCGCTCCCAGCCAGGTCCACTAACTGCAGCTTGGTCTTGAGGGGGGTCTGTGTGATGCTGGGTCGGGGAGAGGGGCATGGCGAGTGACGGGGAGAAGGGGATGGTGAGTGACAGGGGGAGTGGGATGGCGAGGAGGCGGGGCTAGATGAGCGTGAAGAGGCGGCCCTGCGGCAGCGCGGGCTCCACCACTCCTTCTGAGACACTCGCTGGACGTCCTGTCTAGCATTCTGCAGCCTACGAGCTGTAAAACACAGAGATCACACTGTATGAGTCCAAAAAGTAGGAGTAAAACTATTTCTTCCAAGTGTTAACAAAGTAACAAAGTGCCTTTTGAGCAGGTCAGTTCACTTAGCAGCCATCTCAGTAATAACACCAGACTGCTACTTTTCAGTCATAAAACTATAGCTTTTAGCTACCATCTAGCCCACAATCCCAGAAACTGTTTCAATTCTACATTTAATATATATATATATATATATATATATATATATATATATATATATAATCAGACAGTGAGAAATAGATTTTAATATATTATTATTTACTATATATCAATGTTAATCACATCTAACATAAGCTTTTGTTTACATATATATATGTGTGCATATAATATTATTATATTTTTATATATTATATGTGTGTGCGTCTCTGTATACTTTATTAACATATACAGATATATATATATATATATATATATATATATATATATATATATATTTATGCTGTTGCGGTATGTATGCAATTATATATGTATATATATAATTAATCTTTTTTTTTTTTTTTTTTTTTTTTTTTTATTTAACAGTCAGACATACATACAAACAAACCAACATAGTGCAGTAGTGAGCAATCTTGTAAATCCATAATTCCAGCAGTGGCAAGAGTGATTAAGTGTTTGATCTAAGTGTGTAAGTGAGCGTGTATGAGCGTGGGTATGTGTATGCGTGTGTACACAAAGTAACCATTTATTATTTATTACCATTGTCATTACCATCACTCCCCACTACCACCATACTGCCCATATTGTTTTTGTAGATTTTTATTTCCATCCTTCCTCCTATGTAACGATTGCCATTGTCAATCCTGTACAAAATATGATAATATAATAATATAATATAATATAATATAAGACAACCTTCCCCCACATCTCATCAGTCCCTATCTTTTCTATATTTTTCTTTTTTTGTGTGTGTGTGTGTGTTATGTGCAATGTCTAAAGTGCATTAAAAGAGGGAGTACAGTGCGAGAATGTCTCAAATTGGGCCAGAGATGCTGTCCCGTTGAAACTACTTCTCGCCTGTCTTGCCTGCCTTGGTGTTTGCGATGTTTATCCAAATATACTTATTCTTTTTTTTTTTTTTTTTTTTTTTTTTTTTTCCCTTTTCTATGTTGTGGTGCATTAAAAACCCATGAAGAGATAAGGGGGAAGTTATTGCATTAGTGATGACAATGACGCTTAATTCTAGTTCTACATTCTAATTCTACAGCATTGACAATGGCAATATTGATGATGATAATAATAATAATAATAGTAATAATAATAATAATAATATAATTAATCTGTTTTATTTTAGATTTTCAACTATAAAAACCCAGCAAAATACTTTTACAAATAAATAAATAGAATTTTTCGGGCTAATCTGGTCTAACTGATGCCTCTATTAAAAAGTGATTGGCTCTTTTAACTTTAGAGTGGAACTATGTACAGCCGTTTTTTTGAGAGTTATAATTAAAAAAATATACATGTCCTCTTAATTTTTATATACGGTAATTATATGTCTCCTGCCCATATGTCTCTGATGATACAGACATAAATCCACTTTATGGTAACTTTTATGAGGTCTTTCAGTGCTACTGTGAGAAACCTTTGGAGTGAGCACAGAGCTCTTTTTCCAGAGTAGTGAGAAAGTGCTTGAGTGTGTGTATGTGTAGATAACCAATGCTGTGGGTGTGTGAGAAAATAGAGTTGTTAGAATGAGCGTTTGTTTGTGTGTCTTTAGATAATACGCTCGGTCTCACTTAACAGCCATAACCGTGTGTGCTGCAGATAGCGGCGTATGGCTTGAGGGAACATTTCAGTGGAACAGTTGGGGGACTTGAAGAAACACTGTACTGTATATCATACCTAGAGCCAGTGCATCTGGGCTTCTGGAGGTGACGGTGAGAGTGACGATGAAATGAGATCTAGAGGAGTCCATGTGCACCAGGGTGGGACTGTGAGATCTTAGTTTCAACACAGAATTAATCAGCTGCATCACCTCTGCAGAGCTCCGTACCAACCTGACACACAAACACATGCAAACCTGTGAAAGTCACATGACTGTAATGACCCAAGTGTTACTACACGATCTAGTCATGACTTGTGCAACCAAACACTAAAGTCATTTCAAGTGTTTGGGATTTTTGGTGAACTTTAGTATACTTTTAGAAAATTTCTTTAGAAGTATGTAATAACACTTGAGTCATTAGTTAGCTCCCATTATCTTCACTTTATAATACGGATCCAAATAATTAGTAATTCCCATAGAAGTATGTGACTGTGACTCACTCATTTGTTAGGCAGGGCACCTCACTGGTGCCTGTGCTGGTGGTGATGACCTCTCTCTTCACCCCAACTGTCGCCCCATCTTCGTCTCTGGCCAGCAGGTCCAGAACTTCATTATTATAGACCTCCACCACAGACATCTCAACTGTATGACTGTCCACTGGCTTCTCAGAGATCAGCCTGTGACATATATCAATACAGGCAGACACTCAGGTATTCTGCGTGCAATATTGTATATGAGTAAAATGTACAGTGATTTTACAGTGACTCTGCTGTGAAAGGGATGTGAACTGAGGCTTACTTAAAAAGCTCATTGGCTGCTTTTGGAATGATGCCCTGTTGAGAGACCTGCACTGCAGCTGTGAGCTCCTCAGACTGGGAGCCAATCATTGTGTGTGTCTTCCCACTGCCCGTCTGACCATATGCCATGATGCATACATTATACCTGAAATTAAAGAGATTTATAGTATACTTATTATAATCCTTACAAAGACTCCCTTTGACTTTTTGGGCAGTGTTTGGGGAAAATTGGTGACAAATCTTGACATTCTCTACATGTTCGAGAGTTTTCTGTCTCATATTCTCAAATGTCTTAGATTGTTTTTCTTTGCAGCTAACAAATTATTTTATTTATTCTTGTTTATTTTATTTTATTTTATATTGATTTGTATAATGCCACGTTAGGAAGAATGTACTTTTCTAAAAAAAAAAAAAACACTATAAATTTAAACTCTCTAATATTCACCAAGTTCTTTTAAAAGAAGCATGTGGTAAAATTAGGAATCATTTTTACTTTGATACTTACTGCCATTTCAAAGTGTCCAAAATAATACTCTCTACTAATTAATTATATCAACCAAATAGACTAGACTATTTAATTAATGTATTTCATGCATAAATTACAATTAAAATAGTAAAATCATGTCATAATGATAAAGCAAGCAATAGCACACAGACAGCTTATTTAAAAAGATTATTTATTCAAGTAAATTAATCTGTCATACTTCCAAACCACATTTATGGTAATGTGCATGAGCACCAGGCACATTCTCGCTAAAACATTTAATAGACAGTGACCTCTAGTCACAGACTAGTCAACATTACCAATTTTAACACAACAGTGGAACAAAAAGTCAATGTAACTGCCACTAATGTGCGTAAAATGTAATTTACTCAATGTTAATTAATGTGTTTATATATATCATTTTTATAAGCATCATTTGATTCCAGCATCTTCCCTAAGCGAATAGTTAAACTTGTTTGAATTAATAGGATACTCACCCATCAAGTAGAGAGGTTAGAAGGGGTTTCACCTCCTCAAACACAGTCTCTTGGCTGTCTTCGGGACCATGTACTCTACAAACCAAATGAATAATGGACACATTCTAGATCACCCTCCACCAAAAGCGCATGTTTCAAATGTTCACATTTTATGCAGTGTGCAAATACCTTTCAAACTCAAATATTTTGTTCATTACAGGACTTGATGTTTTGGCGCAGTTCACAAAAACCGAGTCCTGCAAAACAAGGATGGTCAGAGATGATTATTCCAGGGTGTAGGGTGTAGTACTGGCCCATTTCGATTCATAGACCCCATAAACTACACTACATATAATCAACTGACTCACATCATTGATGGCCTGCACCACTGCTTCACATAATGAAGACCTTAAAAGGGAAAATGAGATTAAATGAGATTTATTACGCCTGGCTACAGCATTCCCTAAGCATGCGTGTTTTCAGCATGAAACAATGTTTTTATTTAAATTGCAGCCCATTTTTACTATTAATTTACTCATTTAAATTTGAATGTTTTAAATGAATCCTTTTTATTAATTTAATATGTATTAATCTATCGCTATTCTTTCACTATATATTTAGACTACAATACCCATTGGTTGTAGGTGATCCTGGGATGTGGTCAAAGTGCAGAATTGGACGCACCCTGCAGTGAACCCTGATATTCCCCCTCAGCTCCTACAGAGAGAAAGGTGTGTGCTGCTTTAACTATTTTTTAATGGAACAAAATCATCTTAACTGCTTACACAGTAAGGTAAAAATAGGTCTGAAATAGTTTAAATATTTATTTCTGAAATATTCATGCGTCAAGCAGGTAATAGCATCACAGTGTACTCCCTACAAATAAATGGCAACACGTTACCCAATGAATACATTAAGAACTGTGAATCAAAGCAGAGAACCGAGTACGTACAACCAAGGTGTTGTGGAGCAGCCTCCTCCTCACTCGCTCCTCTCTACACTTCTCTTTCTCTTCCTGTAAAGAGTGCTCAAGTGCAGTCACCTGAACCCGGAGCTCTACGGAAAACAAATGCAACAAAAACTTCTCTCAACTATCTATTAATAGACATTTAGTAGTAGCAAACAAAATATGCTTGTTAATAATAAATCATTGTACTTATTATTTTTGAATATTTAAAATCACATCAACTTTCATGAAATTAGACTTTGATGTGATTGGTTTAATAAATATTAGGTTTAAATGCTTTTTAAATATAAATGTAGTATTTTTATTTTTATTTTTGAAAGCTCTGCATGTGAAAAGTTCTAATACAAAAAATAACATGAATTTAAATTGGACTAAACAAAACTTACAACACGCGACTGAAAACAATATGTATCAACTGACACAATATCACAAGCCAAACTTATATAATCACAATGGACAGTTCCCAACAACCATCACCCTAAACTGTATCTTTGAGTGGACACTTAAAAGCCTTTAGTCAGGAACATATTTTTCATTTTCACTTTGAGACACAGTGATGAGCGGTTTGGTTTGACGTTTTACAAATACAGCTATATAAATGACAAGGGATGAGATCCACAAGCCCTGTGGGAGGCCTGTCACCATGGAGTGCAGGTGACGCACGGGACACATGACCATGTTGTCCCTGCTCCCTGCTGACAGCAGCTTTTCCTGGAGGAGAGGCTGGGGGAGGGGATCCGTGGATTATCTCTGAACACTGCACCACATACCTACTGTCACAACACGGATGGTTTTGTGATAGAGACGGAGACGGATGAAGGAAGAGACAGATGGTAAAGAATGAAGGGAATGAGAGCAGAAGATTAAATAGAAGAGGGGATGAAGGTTAAGGGTTAAGGTTCCCAATCCAGGGCATTTTATAACCTTGCCCTATGACCGTACGCACGTATACGTGTACGTACGTGCACGTAAATAATAAGTGAATGAGATCCGTTAAGTGTATCTGGAGGTACAAATATTCACAGATAATGCAGTTGAACTGATATATTGGTATCTGAGTTCATCTCAGTAAAGAACACTCACTCTGAAGGTCATCACTTTGGAGATCCTGAGCTTGAGTTTTTCTGGCCGTGCCAACACATTCAAAGAGCTGCTTGCTTTGCTCCTCCAGCTCTTTAGCAAACCCCACGTAGATAGTAAAAACATCCTTCAAGTCCTGTTTCAGCATCTGAGAGCAAGACAGACCACACAATGATGCTGTATTTGCAACGCACTGCATTTCAAAGGCAGCATTTGTAGCATAGGATTTGTTTCAAAACAGTGTTTTTGCCATCACCTGAACTTCAGACAGGAGTTTGGAGAGAGTTGCATTTGTGGACTTCTGCACTTTCCTCTGCTGCTGATGTTTCTTTCTATGGACATGAATGTCCTCCTCCCTCTCATGGCGAAGTTTACCCAAACACTGGGCGTTTAGGAAAAGTGAATGGGAAACATGCAAACTGTTCAGTACATTTACATTGCTTTTAACTTTTCACAAAGCATTGTGGAGATGTTAATTCAATGGAATTTTGATAAGTGTTAAATTGGAGTCCAGATGCTCACCAGGGCTGCAATTATTTGATCAAAAATACAATAAAACAGTAATATAATGAAACATTATTACAAATTTAAACCAATCTTTTCAATTTTAAAATGTAATTTATTCCATTGGTGGCAAAAATGAGATTTTCTGCATCATTACTTTAGTTTTCAGTGTCACATGGTCCTTCACAAATCATTATAACATGATGATTTGGTCCTCAAGAAACATTGCTTATTATTAATGTTGAAAACAGTTGCTTAATATTTGTGTGGAAACCGTAATCCATTTTTTCAGGATGATTTGATAAATAGAAAATTCAAAAGAACATCATTTATTTGAAATAGAAATCTTATTTAATAAATGTGTTTACTCTGGTCTCTGGTCTGTATTGCATACCCGCATATTAAGTATGTGAGTAAATTAGGTGAGACTGGCGTGCATCTGTCATCTGTCTGCTCTCTGCAAGCCACTTATCTTGCAGTGAAACCATCTGCCAGGTCAAACTCTTAACTGCAGCGGAGGGTCGACCACCATTAGGGAAGTTAGGGAAGCATTTCACACTAAATTTGCAACATAGTCCATACCTTAGCGAGTCTCAAATGAAGGAGAGCATTCTCTGTTTCCAACTCCAAAATATGCTCCTCTTTACTCTAAATAGAGAAAAAGGTAGAGAGCTTTATCACTACATGTAAGCTATACAGATGAAATAGAAAAAGAAATCAAATAAAATAAATGACAATATTCACCAGTCATCAACAAAACTTAACCGACACATGTGGCCATGGCTACTGAGACGACCTTTTTGCCTAGCATAAAGCCCAAAATACTGTGTATCCTCAGCATCTTACAAGCTTTTGAGACATATAACCATCACTTACAAACAGTGATGGGAGTAACGCATTTCAAGTAACATGAGTTATGTAATCAGATTACTTTTTTCAAGTAACTAGTAAAGTAACGCATTACTTTTAAATTTACAAGAAAATATCGGAGTTACTTTTTTTAATCAGGTAACCCAAGTTACTTTGTTTTTCCCATGTATTGACCGACAGCTCTCGTCCCTTTGTTGACTGAAATCGTGAGTAAGGTGCATTGGCGTTGTGTGCGCTGTAAACACTGATCTATAAAATGAATTAATTCTATATAGATCAGTTAGTATAATATAGTTATTTTTCATGGAGTAACGCAGTATTGTAACTTTTCCCAAACACTGCATTACATACAAAATACAAAAAGTATGCTGGCTGTACCATGGTACATTGATGGTATGAGAATATAGAACGAGATGATATACTGAATGATTACCATATTCCTATGCCAAGGTATTCTAATGTCCTTAAATGGAAACCATATTAGCATGGTCAATTAATATTATAGTATTATTGCATAATATCAAGCTACTTTGTCTGTGGGTGGCTTCACACAACAACAATAAGAATATGGAGGTCTAATAATATTATATTATTAGCTGTTAAGTGATAAATTAGGTTGTTTCTTCTTTGGGTTGACATAAACATCATAAAAAGGTAAGCAACAGGACCGCCCATAGTCTCTTTTATACAGTCTATGGTCTCCGCATATTTATCCACCGACTGCAAATGTGCTACTGCAATTTTACCGGAAAAAAGTTTACCCTACTTCCGGTCTGGGCCCGCGTTCAGTCTGTGTTCACACAGTTGGTGTTTAGTAAGACCTGCAACAGTCGATGGAAACAGTCGGTCTTCGAATATTTCAGCGAATTGTAAGTGTGTCCCCCATCATTACATTAATCTGCTATAAGTGGCTCAAACCTCCGTTATTTATTACCTCTAAAATGACGTTTTTGTAATTACTTGCAACCATGCTCGCAACGGAGCCATGGATTGAGATGCGTAAGAAATTAGTCCTACATGCAAGAGCGCTTTAATATCAAAAACTTGAAAAATGTCTTGATATGAATCATCTGAACAATGTTTTGAGGTGTGGTAACTGTTAGTATAAGCGGAATAATTGACTTCAGGCCGTTGAATTATCCGAAAAATAATGCACACCCGAGGTGTAGCTAACAGCTTCGCGTCGTGACGTTACCACCCCGGGTGTGCATTATTTTTCTAATAATTCAACGGCCTGTCGTCAATTATTCCTTACTTAATGGACTAACGCAATATTGTAACTTTCCCCAAACACTGCATGCAAAATACAAAAAAGTATGCTGGCTGTACCATGATGGTATGAGAATATAGAACGAGATGATAGGCTACTGAATGTTTACCATATTCCGATGCCATGGTATTCTAGTGTCCTTAAATGGAAACCATATTAATGGTCAATAAATATTATCGTATTATTGCATAATATCAAGCTACTTTTTGTGGGTGGCTTCACACAACAACAATAAGAATATGGAGGTCTAATGACTAATATTATACTATTTTATAAATAAATATATTATATGATATTATATTTATACTTTATTCACAATAAACTCAAAATAACAGCATAATGATCATAACGACAGTAGACATGTCTGTAAATCAAAACTAAAAGCACGTCAAAGTGACATGATTACATTATTTACAAGCCTATCAATTTTGACATTCAGGTAATATAAGAGGAAACTCACCCGCAGTTTGTGCTCTAGGAGGTGGACTTGATGAGCAAAGATCTGGTCTCTATTAATAAAGAGCGGCATTGTGAGAGAGAGAGTAAAAACAGGATGTGAATGAAGCATTTATTGTACAGTGGTGGTGAACTGTATAACGAGCTCGTGTGTGGTTTGTCTGAAGTGTAATCCGATTACCTGCCTGGCCTGCGCACACTAGCCTATTTGGCGTCCTCCTGTTAAGTGCCTTCTGATCTATTTACCATGATGAATATCGTTTTTCCATGTTTACAGAACAACGTGTGAAACTGTATGTGCATGTATTAGCAATGTGGGCTTGATATGTGAATTTTGACTTGTTTAAACCCCTTTAGACTTCATGACAGCAGTCACATCATGAATACTGATCTGAGACTCAACAACAGGCCGATGACGAAGAACGCCATTTGAGTGCCTCCTACTGGTTATTTGTTCACGCCGGGATCTCTCACGGAGGTGATGTCGATGTCAGGTAAGGTAATGTGGGGCAGATTAACTCGTTGGAATACTTGCCACAATAGTACTTGAAATATTTAAATTGAATAGTTGCTAATTGCAACATTTCATAAGGTTAATGTTCCTATAAAAACAACTGAACATTTAAAAGTATAGCATCATGTTTGCTAACTAACTGTATTATTTTATTTTAGAAACAACTCATTCTTGTTTACAGTGTATAGATTTACTGACTTGTTTTGAGTTGTTTTGATGTATATTTTGAATATAAATTGCAAAATGCCTGACTAAAATAAAATCACAAAGAGCTATCTGTAAAATGTGCATGAACATTTCTAGACGATTAACCCAAAAAAGTGGCCCTGTATTGACTGTAGGACACATTGCTCTCCATTGAATTCTTTATTAGGTGAATAGATTTAGAGTACAGCAGGCTAAATATGTAAACAGCTTTTCCCCTGAGGTACAATTAACATTGGGAAAGATTATTAAAAGCAGCCTATTGGAAGCACAGGAAAGAGGCTAATTTAGCCTTTTTGGCACATTTGACATTCTCTAAGGCAGGTTTCTATTGCACAGTGTAAACAGGTCCTGTTCTAAATTTGCAAACCAACTGACTCCATTCAACTGATCGATTACTACACACAGAAACCACACCATAATTTTCATAATCCAATCCAATCAGGTTATCATTGATATGCATGTGTAATACATGGACAGGCCCAGTTTAAACACCAATAAAAGTTCTACTATAAGAGTAACTCAGCAACCATAGACGATTAACACACAAAAAAAGGAATGTCATTAAAGCTGGTATACTTCAATAAGTCATCGTTATGTAGCACAAATCACTAAAGACTGAAGGGAATACAATAGACTTAAGTGCAAAATACATCAGATACACTCTGATACATTAGAGATGATTTTACACCAAAAAACAGAACTGGCCATGTGTAAATTATACTACAGGTTTACATTACTAACTTATTATATACTTTAGTGTCACCATGACATGTTAAAGATTTGTAAACATGTCTTTTGAATATGGAAACTGGTTTCAAGGCCTGATTAAAAGCACACGATTACAGTGTGGTCATTTGTTTATATCAGGATTATTCAGCCCTTATTCTCTCTCTATACACATAGCAATCCCCATTCCACCACCTATACACAGTGAAGCGACCCCTTTCCGTCCCCCTGTCCTTTGAAGCGCATGGAGCAGGGTCACCAACACTCTACAGCCAGACATCCCAAGAGGATGTCCAAGAGAGATCGCACCTCCACACACATTAACCTGAAGGGAAAGAGACAAATGAAATGTTAAATTATCGGGGGCGGGGTTCTAAAAAGAAAATTTTGAAAAATAACCCCTGAAATGATGATTTCTTGTGAATATTGTATGCTATCAAACATGATAGCATATCATAATACAACTTATTAGGCCTATATATTAATAAATGTTTATAGATTAGCAAAGTAGGCAGGATCAATGAAAGACGGAACCACATAGATATAAAGGCTATCATGATCATTTTGCCAACAATGAACCATGGATATGTTTACTTTATAATACGTTTTATTTTTAAAGGCACTCTATGCAAGATCTGTACCTTAATATAACAGCTTCAAAGTCGTTTTGGTGGTTAAAGTCATAGTAGGGCGAATCATCCTGGTAGGAAAGCTTGGGGGGGACGCCACCGGAAAAACCAGCCATGCAAGTTTGAGAGTGGCGCCCCTGACACAGCGCGTGAGAATCACGAAATGGTTTACGGCAACGACGTCACACGCATCAACAACATCATACTGTATGAAGCTACTTTCGAAAAAGGGAAAGAGAATCGGACCGTGCTAGAAACCGGACAAGAGTCCACTCGGTCGGGCTTTCACTCGTTGGCGCGAGCTTAAAAGCTGCACTGGATTGTAACTGCGATGCTGACCTGGCGATCTTGTTGATGGACTTGTAAGTAAATCTCTTATTTATAAACTTGTTTGTATTTGTATACTTGTTTCTATATTGTTGCTGCACTGGCTTGTAGTATGTCATTTTTTACGGTGCTGTTCATTCATCCGTTGTTGATAATAAGACCAGTTCAATAATTCTCACATATGTCTAGCTTTCGATTACCAGAGCTTTAAGCAGACTTCCTAAAAACAGTCGTTTCTCTTAGTCTTGTTGTTTTTTTCGTTATGTTTTATTGCCGAGCTTGCCACAAGAGCTAGTTTGCCAGCTGAACTCAGGTGTTGTGATGTGTATTTATCACGTATCTTTAGTCCTGTGTCTGGTTCGGATTTCTTATGACGTGTGTAAGTTACTGTTATATCAAGTTTATCTGACTAACAGTACACTTCCCGACTGTAACTTCAAATTGTGTTGATTATGAATCAATCGAATCTTGACGCTGTTGATGTTGATTCTTGCGATTACTATGAGGACATAGTCAATATCTCACATAATTATTAGGACATGTATAAGCCTAGAGGTTGTAAATAATTGAACACAATTTGCTATTATGATAAATTGTAATCATGTCTAAATCATAACGTCCAATGTTATGAAATAATGCGACGTACATTTAACTTGATTGATGTCATCTGACATTTTGTAATGTTTACATTACAATCAAAAAACATGAATGAAATTATACAGTAGCCTATACACTATACTGATTTTGCAGAAATCATGTAAAAACGCTATAAGCCAGCAAACGCGATAGGCAACTTTATTATTAAAAAGCAGTCTAGCACTTGACAGTAGTTCAGTAGATATGCAGTAACAGGGGAATAACGGTTATTTACGACAGTGCAAGTACACCACAGCGGCTCTAGAGGTCACTGTTTTACAAAAAAACCAGAGAGTGCATAGTGTGCCTTTAACTTAAATTAATACAATAACATTCAAAACTCATTGGCTTGGACTGCATTTAAAGAAATGTCCAAGTTTTCGGAAAACACAACCGTTTTCTGTAGCCTTATTCAATAGAATTACATTTCTAGAATGTTCTTTCCAGTGCAAAAAAAATAATATTTTTAATTTAGTAGTTTTTCTTATCATAGCCTACAAATGTCTTCAGAAACTCCTTTTCCTCTATTTACTGAAGCCTGTGTAAAACATATTTGCAGCATAGACAATTTGCAGTTGCACAGCTAGCACATTGAGGGTCTGGCTCGCTCATAGGCTGCACTGCGGCCACTGCACATCCAATGGAGCGGGTTCCTCTGACGTGCGACCAATTAAGCCTGTTTTATGCTTCTGCGTCGAATCGACGGCGTACCCCCGCAGACCCCTATCCGTCGACGCGAACCCCTCTCCGACCCCTCCGCCGTAGCTCGACGTGCACCTCCAAAAATTTGTAACTACGCATCGAGGCGACGCAGACAGCAAGGGCTTTGATTGGTCAGATTATACATAATTTCAGGAGTGTAGCTTTTCCGATTTCCCCCCTCCCGCTATTAGCGCTATTTTTAACATTTGCACCCTCGTTCTGATAATTATAATACTCTTATAAAGAAAGTAAATAAAGAATTAATCTAAAAATAAACAGTTTTTTTATTTCATTGTTAATATATATGTCTATATTCTTTTCTTTTTTTTTTGCTCGCAATAAACTTCAATCAATCAATAAATTAACGTTTGTTTTGAAACACAGTTTGTTGTTTATTTTCAATACAATGTTCACGGTTACATCATTGATAATACAGTACTAACCAAGTCTGCCACTGGACACATTATATCCTGCCATAGCACAGTTCCATGTGGAGACTGAAAAAAATCCTTCAAGTCATTTCGAACAGGTATCGTTATGGCAGCTCGGGTGGAACCTTTATTTTATTGTCTATGGGTGGAACGGGCCCTGGACATCCGTGTTGATCCTGTGGGGATAAAGTTTGTGTCGTCTTGTTATTCAACGTCGATTAGCTCCAGCTGGCAGCTGCAAAAACAACAACATTCTCTCTCTTTCGCTCGCGGCGCACGAAACCAAAGAGATTCGCGAACCCCCCTAGCATTCTGGCGGCGAAATGCACCGCGATGCACCACAACCTCATGCAGAAGTATAAAACGGCCACGACGCCGTAGCAGTGACGACGTAGCTATGCCGTGGAGTTGACGCTGAAGCATAATGAGGCCTTTACACGACAGAGCCCACCAAGCGGGCGTGGCCTCTGATAGTCCATAATTTGCCATTATAGCAGGTCTTTGTTCATTCATAGTCTGTCTGACATATTTATTAGAAGCTATGCGTCTGTCGTGGATTTGCACTGAATTTACTCTCAAAAATACGGAACAAAGTGTGCTCCATATCAGTTCAATACGAAACAATACTTTTACGTGTCAAATACAGGACGATTCCGTATTATACGGAACGGTTGGCAACCCTAGTGTGTGGATATATATGCATGTATATAGTGGAGGAAATCACACACCTTGTCAGGGTTTAGACCGAGCTCCTGTACCACTGCAATGGACTGAGCAGCAAACGCTTCATTTACCTCGAACAGGTCCACCTCGTCTAGCTTCCATCCGGCTTTATCAACCTGGTTGGAAAGCAGATACAATTCACGTCAAAAAACACTATAACTGCAAGTGCAAAACAAATCGGCTTTTAACAATAAATTGGTGAGGGCTATAGCACAAAACATTTTGATTGAATTAGCTAATATTATCATTTTCTCCTCTCTTGGAAGTCACTTTGGATAAAAGCGTCTACTAAATGCGTAAATGTTAGTGATATTACATTATAAAGCACCCAACATAATTTCTAAAAAGTATCTTAAAGTAAGCTCAAACAAACAATATAGCAGCATAAATCATAACACACACACACAATTATAATTATATCATATCATAGTATATAAAATCATATTATTTCTCATTCTTATAATAATGGACAATTCTGCTCAACGTTTTAGATTTATTTGAAACTCTAAATCTGGGTCTTTAATGGCTTACACTGGTCCTCTGAGTGCCTGTAAGCATAGTGTGCGTTTCAGGACCAAGCACTGATTACAAGCATTCTTTCTTCATTCATGTGGTTGAATTAAAACCTGTGATGA